AGGACGATTAGATATAAAGAAGTATTTTTCTCTAACCAGGTTGTGGAACCGTTGGAAAAGCTTCCAGAGGCAATTCCTATGTCCCTTTCTCTGAAGATATTCAAACACCGACTTGATCTCCATATGCTGCAACACAACGTGAACAGTGTAACTAATTAACCATAAAACACCAATGCATGATGGAACTCTGTCTCCCATCTGAGCATGACAATGACTACGTTATCATCACCTATGATTAAGAATTCCCGAGGGAATCCGAAAGGTCAGGAAAATACAGCCCTTGTTCCAGTGAACGCATCTTCTTCTTCTTCTGAATATTTTCACACTGTTTTTAACTCCTGAAATTTTGATTTGACAAAGACTTAAGCCTATCTTTCCTCAAACGCACTGACTGACTGATTGAGTAATAGCTCTATAGAACAGTTGGGAAAGCTGAGGGAAGATGATAGTTTATTTCAAGTGTCTTCTATAGAGATAATACGTTTGACTACTACAAGCCTGTCATTATGAATACCCACGACTGAGCGTAGCATTTTGGCAATTTCGGCTCTTTTCTCTTGGCCTTTGTAACGCTTTGCCTATCCCTGTACTCTCGCATGGTTAACTTATCCTATTCTTAAATTTAAGATGACTTGGGAGAAAAATTAGAGGTATCAATGTCCTCTTATTTTCTTGGCTAACTGTCTATGCTCAAAGAATTTTTTTCCCATTTAAATACCAAATGCTCAGAATGTTCTTGTTATCATCTAGTTGGAAAAGTATAGATACTCGTTCAAGAAAAGAATTTCAATAAATAGCAATCGGTCAAGTTAACAGTCAGAAAAGGAACAAATGCTCGGTGATTTTCAAATTATTTAGAAAATATAATGCTTGCAGAATCACTAGGGTTTTACTGTGTTGATATTTAAGCGGCAAAGTGAAAAATGTAAATTCTGTCCCAATGTGTGGTTCAATTAATTACAGTATTGTCTGAGCTTTTAAATTTAACGTACTTTCAAAAAGCCCTTTGAAGGCATTAAAACACAATCCAAAGTATCATTGCCTTTGGGGATCACGGTTCACCGTCTATAGACGTATAATAACTTGATTATTTATCCTGGCGTATACGCTCCTGGCGATAGCTCCCTTATTTTTTCCTTGTTTTAAAAAAATCCATCTTAATTACTGCCTAGGTGCTCTCATTATCTGAAAATTCATGTGGCTATTGGATCGGCCGATCCAGTGCTCCGGAGCACTGTAGGCGGTGAGTTGTAATACATTTTGATGAGCCGAGGGGCGAGCGATAACGTAATCGCGCCTCACTGGGCGTGTAGGTATACACAGCACAGGAATAGGGTTCACAAGACAGGGAAAGTGGAGCAGAGCTACTATGTGCAACAAAATCTGAATACGCTTTAAATGACCAAAAGACCTATAGAAATGTAAAAAGGACAACGATACAATTTCAAAAACTGGTCAAAACCCGGAGGAAAAATGGCGCGAAAGGTTCCGATGGATACAAAAAGGAATGGTAGTGCATGTTGCCACCTGTAGTTTATCCAGACTAATAGCTTTGTCCTTCCTTCTTGGACCCCGAGTCATGCACGAAGTGAGTCAATGCGCATGTAACCCGTTTGCCCTGTCGATAAGACGCTGTGTAAGAGTATTCTGTGTAGCTTGCTACTAACATATGGTTTACACCAAATGAAAATTTAAGCTCAACATAATTACAAAACGTGAGGTTATGAGAGTTGCGACAAATACGTCCAGATTCTGTGATTCTATGCTAGAGATTTGGCCGACCACTTTAACCGGTCCGCCGACTCCTGCTATAGTCCTTTATGCATGCAATTTGCATCTGCTCGTGCGTGAGATGTAGGCTGTTTAAGGAAAATTTCGTGCAATTTTGTTGTACGTTGGTCCGTTTTATGGCCCAAAATGCCAAACACTTGGCACAGGTCAAACTCAACCTTTGGCTTCCTTTTTCTTAATTCCTCTGTTGTTACTTGAACTGACGTCTTGCACTTATTTTGTGTCCTATGTTTGCAAAACCTTGGCTGTAAAAGGAAGATTGCTACTCAAAAGACTGCTTGCGTACTCAAAACATGTTATATATTGATTAGAAAGAAGTGAAAGTTTTTGGTTTTAAGCGATTAAAGAAAGAAAATAGACACTCGAAGCAAAAAACAAAGACTTTCCATTTGGTAACTTAAAACTTCTGAGTAACATCGCCACGCTGCGTCGTACAGATTAATGGGGTGGGAAGCACAACCAGCTATTACCTTTAAATGAGTAAGCGTATGATTGCATCATGCAGAAATTATCGTCCCATCAATATTACGTAGCAACTTAAATAAGTTAGTAAGACTGTATGCTTAAAATACTCTGAACTTTTGAGGAGCGCACGGAGACGTAAACAGGTATCGAGGATGTCCTGAGAAACCTACCCATAGTATGTTCCGAAAATATGAAATATGGACCATAATCAGCACTTCAAGTGAACACCATGAATACCTCAGGGATATCTGAATCCAAAATGTTCACCGAAAACGAAAAAAATGTATTCTTTAGTCTTGATCTTTTTGTAGGTATGTAGGCTTTTTTGGAAAACTATAGATAAATCTTATTTGAGTACGTTATCTTTGTGTTTATTGAAGTGTTTGTTATCCGATATATGCAAGTTGCTTGACCATGATCAGAACAGAGTGCCAGCCCTTGCGGACATTTTAGGATACTCTCAACATTTCAGGGTGTACTTCCATAGCGACCAGCAAATATTTGCAGAACGTTAAAGAATCTAATCGCAAACCTGTACACATCGATAAAGCCGACTCCAGGGCCTGCGAAATTACTCATGCGTGTTTGAAGAGGCTCGCAGGAACATCATAAGTGACATGATAGCATATTGTTGAGCTCGAATTTTAGCGTATAGCTAGTAATGCGTGGCTTTTTTCGATATTTATCATTAATTTAATGGAGACATAGTACTATTTCCAGTTTAAACACACATTTCATTATTTTGGTACATATCCCAGGATTTCTGGTGCATCACTTACCAAAAATCCTTATTTTTCTTTAAATAAACATCTCATATTTTCACAAAATGCAAAAAATACTTTAACACGGTCCAAACAAAAATTCATGCTGCGCTTTTTAGCTCTAGCTGAAGAAAATAACAAAATCTCAGGCACATGCATTTCTTAAATAACTGCAAAATCCTAGATTGTGTTTTGCTCTGTGCAGTCAGCGAGAACTCCCTTTTGAGCCCAGCAAGCTGAACTATCTAACTGCGTATCATCCCATAAGGTGCTACTGCCAAAGCAAGAGAAGTCATAATGAACAATTGCATGTTGAATGAATGGTCCGCTGTCAGTCTTATAGTTCGGTTTATCATTCGATAAGAGCATACTTCAAAGATAGTACTGGGTACTTGAGTAGGAAATTTAGCAGCGGTCTTCTGACCACTGTCACCCGCAACAAAATAACCGAACCCATGGAGCAGTGTCTGTGCGAGTTTGACAGGCGTGACTCAGGTCAGTGCGTAGGCGGCAGGATTTTATCGTGCGATAAAATTAAACGACGTGGATCGCTCGGGGAAATACTGAAGGTATAGCACGTCATCGTTGAGGTGAAGGCCAT